TGTACCATTGTTTTAGCAACCCTGCGAGCGCCACTTTGCATAGGTCGACGAAAATAGTGGTTTCAAATCTACACTACTCGGGTCCATCCAAATGGCTATTCACATTTATTAAAGCAATTCACCTTGCCCTATGTAGGCAATGTGCAGAAAATCGGCTTCGAAATGCCATTTATTTCATGCCGACAGCTATTCATCACACCACGATCGTTTCTCTACTGGTCTTTGTAAGTTCCTGCAAGACCAAATAGCTTTAAGGTTACTGGTGCCTTAATGACTTCATTTTGGTAATGACAGAACTTTTTGAGTTCGCCTGCTTTAATTTTTGGACTCCTCTTATTGTTGGCCTAGAGAGGCCTTTTGTTTGGTTGTAAGCTTGTTTGGCAAATTGATTTGATATCCTTTCTCCATGGTAATTCCAATATTCAGACTTCTTATCTGAAATTGTCTCATGCTGCAGTTTCGGGTCTCAGTGTCCCACCAGATCCACCTTAAGTTTTTCACTCGGAGATTTCCCGATTTTTCTGTATTCTCTACAGCAGCATAAAAGTTATGCCTTATTAGAAGGCTTAATGCACCCTTTTTACTGACAGACTCGTGAGGCCCTGCTTTGGAATTGAACTGATTGTATTTCTGTTTTCTGACCTTGATGCTTATTCAGCTGAGGTCTGTTGTCAAGTTGTGTGCAGAAGTTAATTATCTCTATGGTTCGTTAACTTAATGCTTGAGTTCTTAAGCATGCTTAAAAGTGGTCCATGACTCAGAAACTTCGGATTGCCTTCTCCAAAAAGGCCAAGACCCTACATGGTGTGGGATGCGTGGTCGCGCTGGGATCACGAGTTTGCGCTGTCAGGGCGCATTGGCGATTCTCTGTGGGGATGAACCGATGGCCTCTGAAGCCATTGACAGGGCTGACTGGCAAGGAATCGACGCACATCTGCCTTTCCCAAGATATAGCAGTTCCAAGCGGTAATGGTGTTTCTTCACTTTTCGTGATTTTGAAGTTACAACTTCTTTTCTTATTTTTTTCTGCCTAATCGAATGCTATCCAATTCTGGGGTTTTAGCGATGTTATGACACGTATATTTAACCATCAAACGTGAGAGTTTGATCTCCATACTCTCGGTCTTTTAGTCAAGAAAGACTAATTTTGCTACCAGAGCTAACACACTTTTCATCCAGAAAAATATTACTGGGAGTTTATGATGCGCAATTTACATCTTTCTTACGAGTTTACGTTAAACTCAAACCTTCGTACTTTACAATCCACATGCGTTTTACCCTATTTCTAGTTGCAATTGATGACATATTTTTCTTTTAAAGAATCAACTTTGGGTGATTCATAGAATAACAGTTTTACCAATCGCTTCATGAATTTCCGAAATTTGGGAATTTATCCACTCTAGGTAACGGATTATCATAGGTTCAATCGTCATGAGGACTGCTAAGAACTTCTGTGATGCATTATGTTCCATTATTTTTTTCCGAGCGTCATCATCCTCTCTCATAATGAGGTTGAGATTAATACCAATTTAAAAGGTGCTTAACTTTTCCGCACTGAATTGGGTGTTCCCGTTTTGATATCCTCCTAGGATATAGAATCTTTTGTGATCTCTTCAATTCCTAAAAGTGAAAGCAAATGCCCTAATGGTTCTCGCTTTCTCGAATTTTTTCGTTACTTTGAAGGAATGCGGGATGAATTTAGGCTTCTCTCTTCCCCTTAGATCTCGGGTCTTACGAATGTGCATGTGGCCACTGGATGCCCCTGCGGATGTGCAGCGTCGAGTCTTTGAGAGGTTTGTGGTTTTGCACTTGCTCCTACCCTGCCAAAAATTACTGTTTTTTACCTGTTCTCTTTCCTCAATTTCAGCGTCTGGTCTGACCAGGAGTTCGAGCGGGCCGCTGCAATGGCTCTCATCAACCTCCAATTCGATTGGGCTCTCAGTTTTCTTTCACGTGCCTCTGAGTGTAAGCAATTTGCCTTCCTTGAGGTTATCGTAGGGGAACCTTTCTTCAACACCTTCATAACGGATCGTCTTTAGCTAAAAAATGATCGCTTTCGATGTTGTTGTCTTCATTAAATTTTCCTTGGTACAAAACAAATTTAAAATAACAAATTCCTATTTGTGTCCGTTTCCATCATGCTTCTTTGCCTTTGTCTTTCCTCAGGGGTCGATTCTTCTCTTTTCATGCGTATGGCATCTCTTTCATTATCCCAGAGTCCCTCAGCATAGTGTTTCTACAAAATCAATCCTTTTACCATGGTGACACTTTCCATTGATCTCCCTTATGCTTGTCCTCGACTAAATTTGTTAGTTTTTTGCGTCTAAAGATGCATATTTGTCTTTTGGAAGACATTGAGCCAACAGATGAGATAGATTTTATGGAAAGTTTCACCTTTCCAGAACTTATGATTAGGCTGGCTTTGCCTAGTGCAACTTTTTGATGCTAGTTTCTAGGTTTTCATTGTTACGGATGCTGCGAATTCCATTTCATTAATAGTTTTGACCTCTGTTGTGCCAGCCTTCGGTATAAACGTCGTCATCTAGTTAAGTGGAAAAGCATACCTGTGTTGTTGATATTTCTCTCATGCAGCTTGCGCATATGCAGAAGCAACATTTTCGCATTTTACCTCGAGAAATTTCAACACATTAACCATGGTCCCAAGCCTCGAGATGTTTATAAGATTATCTTTTAGAAGGTGTTATTTGGAAAGATTTCAATCATTGGTTAACCCTTTCTAATAAATTCGTTAGCCGGTTTTGCAAATCAATTTGTCCCTTGAGTACTTAGCACTTCCATTCGGTTAAATTGACAGTAAAGTGAGGTGGCTTTGTTATCTCAGGAAAGCTTTCTTACAGACCGTCGTACGAAAGAGGTTGAGTCGGGGTTGGAGCAGATGGTCGGCGCCTCGACTGCTTCCACCACCGCCACCGCACTCACTGCCTCGGAAACCGACCTGATCGGACTGGCGCTGTCGGGTTTTTCCGACTCGCGCAATCACCTTTGGCCCAATGCCTGCGCTGACGTGCTGGGTCGGTTACATAATCCCTACCTCCGCCTCATGTTCAAATTCCTCACGGTCGCTCGCGGCGACTTTTCCACTGATGTTGATTTCACGGAAATTCTCGTGAGAGAAAGTTTGCCTTTATTTACTCGTGAAATTGTTTTCTAACCTTCATGTTGTCGCACGTTAGTTAATGGAACTACTCTTTGAGTATCGGTAGGCAATATTTGTTTAATGACTTTAAACACGTTTGCCATTAAGTGTGCCCACTTGATCTGCAGTTTCTCCAGTTTGTTGTCATTTTAGTTGGCTCATCTCTAGCTCCTATGAGGTCGATGCTGCTGCTTTATTTTTGTCTATACACGTTGCTTATGACAAGGGTTACACACAACTTTGTATAGTTGTTTTCAGCTTTATTTCCATTTCACGTACTCTCTAATTTGGAGTGCTTATTACATTAAAGGTAGTGTTCCAATTGAACTCGTTTGAGCCGATTATTCATTTGACATCTAAGCTAAATCACGAATTCAAGTTAGGTGTTAGTTAGACTTAGATGTATAAAGATGTTCATTCTGCTCTTTCTTTTTAATCTATTACACCATTTCGTTCTCACTTCTTTCTCAAATTCCTACTCTAAAACAATTTTGAAGCAGAACTCCGGTGCACTCATTTCAGATCCGTTTATTTCAAGAACTGGCCGTTGTACATCAGTTCCAATCGGCTCTCGTATCGCATTATTTTGAACAACTTTCATGCCATAAATTTAAGTCGTTCGACATAGAAAACACGTCCGTGAAATTTGTACACAGTCGTGTTATTTGGTGACATGTGCGATTTAAATGGTGGACTCTGCGGTGATGTGCTTTGTTCAAGTCATTTCTGTATTGATTCCTACATTATTTTTCGTAGAATTCCTCATTGCTCTCGATCATAAGCACATCTTTTCTACTGGAAAGATAGACTCATAATTTGCGCTTTCATCTTTGTTAGCTCTTGGTACTTAAATTTAGATTGTTCGAAGCAGCTTCTATTGTTATTGTTATTAATTACTAAAGCATTATTAGGTTTGATTTTGGCTGAACTCATTTGTTACTGCATAATTGTTCGTAGTCCCGGTAGCTCACGCTTCGTAGGTTTTCAAATTCTTTGAACTACTTCAAATTGTCTTCCAACATTGTGGATTTGATATTGGGGTCTTCAATTTTTCTCCTAACTAGCTTGTCTTCATCACTTTTCCTAAGTTTTGCATTGTTGAACACTGAATCACTCAAATCAACTCTTTTAACGGCTCCTTGTGAAGAAATCTGCTCATGCATCGACTACTGACTTTGGCCAAGTTCACTTCACTTCGTGTCACGCTTCTTTTAAGCTTGTCCAATAGCTATGTTGTCTGCATGTTATCCTTTTCACTTCACCTTTAACTTTGAGCTTTGCTATAATCAACCGAAAAAATCGCTTAACAGTTTTTTGAGCAATTGGTGGAATGCAATACCAGGCCGTTTTAGCGACTAAGGAGCAACGTCGCCTTCCCTCTTCCATCGTAAGAAATTTCGAAAGCTTTTGGTGAGGTACCATAGGACTTGATGGATTGAAGGCACTTTAGGTTAGACTGCTTAGGCTCAAATCTCGAATTCATATGGCGTTCATCTTTTAATTTCATTATTTTTTACTGTATTACTGTGTTCAGCAAAATGATAGCCTCTTTCTCATCGACCGTCTGGCCTTTGCGTGTCTCTATCTCAACGATGACAAGGTGAATTTCTTGTGTTCCTTTTATGTTCCCGTTATTCTTTGCATAAGCATATCTTTTGTCCCCTTGAAACCTAAACACTTATTCATTATTCATCTATGAAGTCATATAGTCAATACCTAATGCTGAAACTATTGAGATGGAGACTGTCAGTGTAGGTAACTACTTTGCCTGTTTTTGCAGTGGAACAGTAATTACAAATAACTGTCAATTTTATCTATCAATTGCTCCAAAGTAATAGCAGTGTTGTTAAGAGATGCCATCCTAAGCAAAGAATTACTGCTTCTGGAATTCGAATATCTCATCCTGAATATTTCCATAAAATTTTCACCTATTATTATTCTGTCTTTCTACACTACAGTTGAGGGAGTATGTGCTCTCGACTTTCCATCGGATGCTTGACGAAGGCCGTCTGGAGGCAGTTTTGCTCACTGGCCTCTCCTCGAGCTATTTCTTCGACCTGCTACAGTGCTATGTAGATCTCACGTTTGACGTGCAGACTGCAGCCATTCTCGGCCTCCACGCTTGCTATCTCTGTCGTCGCGCCGCCCCTCCCATCTCTGCCGTTACTACTACTGCCACTACCCTCACCACCTCTACGCCTGCGGCAAATCGCGTCGTTGGCGCTGGCCAAAGCAGACTACGCTTTCGAGGCTTACGAAATGGAGCTGACAGGTCGTCTTTACCGCCTGCGGCAGGACCGACCAGCCCGCCATCACCATCAGCTGATAAAGTGGTTGCCAGCCTCGGGGGTAGGCGGTTGGCTAACTGGGTGGAAACGTAGGTGTTTCATTTGCCTGGCTAATGGTCATCCAGGTCAACTATTCTCTATTGAAACTGGGTGATATAGCTTTGAATGAGGGTATTTGTGGTCACCTTAAGGGTAGAGATCACTAGACTACAGGTACGCTTTAAACAACATGCTCTCTATCTCGATGGGCGCTGAAGTTCTGCGCTATTCATCGAAAAGCTATTAACAATCAAACAGAATTATTGAAGTACCTAGATTGTGACAACAATAGACTTTCTACAATCATTGCACAGTGGAAAGGAATCTCCGTTGTGATATCTTCCATGTTTTAAAATAGTGCTACTTAGAATCAGGAATGCGCACTCTATTCTCCTCCCTTATTAATGTTAAGTTTCTCCGGTTCCGTAAATAGTGGTAGTGGGAGAAGGCGCACCCGGCACTGGTGTAAGAACTCACTCATTGAAAAAGCGCCGACTCCATTTTCCAGAGTTAAGCATTTAAAAGTAAAGTATAGCTTTTACTTCTCATTTGCACCTTAGTTTAACGGCTTTAACTTTTTACACCTATGTACTACTGCATGTTTAAACAGGTTCCCCGTCACTTGATCCAACCAAGCATTTTAAAGCCATAGTATGTGCTTTTTGTTTCTTCAACTGCATTCCAATCACTGATGGTAGGCTCACTGAACCTCCGATCGCCATAGGGCACCAGAGGGATGTGCCCTGGAATTGATGTTTAGTCAACCTAGCGTTTCGAACCGACTGGATAGTGAGAGTGAAGCTCAATTGAGACGTTGGCTATTTTCCCATGGCTTTTCATACACCTTTGCTCTTGAAGCTGTGGGGGCAACGCTGCAAATTTGCTTAGTTGGACCCGTCGATATCACACAGTGGCTCGCCTACTCTATTATTTTTCCCTATGTGCATTTGTCGGTTTCGATTGTAAAAGAATAGAAGGGAATATAGATTTTTAAGGTAGGTGGTGGCACTCAAATCTGCTCAACCCTAGTCCGTAGGTTGCCATCATTGAAATACGCCGCATTTTTGCGGACATCTTTCGCCTTTCTTCGATCGACGGACAAAGTTCCATCGATTAAAGACATGAAATTTAGTAATGGGACTTGCATTTTTATGACGTTTTGTTAGTTTGACGCATTTCTCCATATCTTTCATCGGAAAATAAATTTCGTTCAGTTGCTACTTGTGAATATTCCTTCTAACTGTTAGCCTCTTTTGTGAACTATCTAGTTCATTTTTTGTGTACTGTCACTAAAATGTTTGAGACTCATCTCATTTGATTTTGCTGCTGCAGCAAGTTACCCCACAGGTGAGTTTAGTGGTCTCATTCGTTTGGGGTCTCTTTAAGCTGTGACCAAAGGCTAAAATTGGTTTCCCCTTTCACTCTGAGGTGTGCTTTGACATCTGTAGTAATTAACCTCCCTTAGATTCACTCGCCTCTACGTCCCATTAATTCGTATGCTTGGCACAAATTTAGCAAATTCTCTGTGGACCTGAAGGAGACATGAACTTTTGAATCTAACCGCGCTTCTCACATTCCCTTCCTAACGAGGATCCAAATCCGACGTTCTAGTTACCGCGACATGCTGGACAGGTGGAGAATGTGGTTCTACCGAGTAGACTTTGACAATTATTATACCACCCGTCTTGTCACCCCCTTCTTCTGCGCCGGCGTTCAGTCCAGAGCTGGCGGCAGTGCCGTTAGTAGCACCCTCAGTAGCAGCATGTCAAAAGACACCTCATTTCAAAGTGCCGTCAAACTCCTACCTCCAGTCACACCTGTTCGCGGGATTGGTCTTCCTGCTGCTACTAGTCAGGTAAAGTAAATGCACTTGCTTGTCTATGATGTAAGGTCTCCTTCTACTTTGATTGAAGCCAAGATCCTCCATTATCTCCTCTTTTTGACTAATTCACTACTACGTTCACTTACTGCCCTTTATCGCTATGCTCTAAAGACTGCAGTAAACTCCTATTTAAAGCGAAAATTACATGAGTAATGTTAGGGAAAGCAATAAATAATTTGGTTTGTTCTTGCGAGGTACTTTCTTCGCAAAATTCTTTATTCCCATTTTTACATGGGGTTATTCTTTGAAACCCATGCATATGCATTAATTACTATTTAAGCAATCATTTTTACAGGTTTGTCCAAACTTTTTCCCATGAGTAAATATTTTGCATAATTTCGGCAGCGCCATTGCTCTTTCAACGAATACTTTGCTGAGCATTGTCTAAACCTTTTTTGAAAGCGCTGTTTAGGGGTGGAACAAAATCTTTTCAAAGTGTGCGGTTTTAGTTCTCTGATGCCCTCGATTATCGCGAAGGCTTTGCGTATCTGACCTCTATAACTTATGTTTACAAGTCAGTAAGGTGTCAACATTTTTTCCTTCACCTTAAAGCGTCATAACTCCAACATTATGATTTTCAAATCTTAACGCTTCGGTTTTTAACTGATTTAATTTGTACCACTTTGTAGCTTTGACTTCCATTCACTTTTAACACCGTTAAGACTGTGCTGTAAGCAGCCATTCCCTTTACTTCCCTTTCAGTTTAAAACCTCTTGCATAGTGAATCTCAAAATTCCCTTGAGCTGTTTCAAAGCATTCGAATTCAAATCAATATTTTTTTGGAATAAATTTTGCATTGATTTTGTAAACCATGTCATATTCTACCTTATTTTTTGCTTCTAGTTACTTTTACTCAATTTTCCATGTCTTCGATTTATTAAATTAAATGCCATTAGATATTCGCCTCGTGCATCTACTGTGGTTGGCGCCTGGGTGGTGTAGTGCGAGGGACTGTAGAAGAACCCACCTCTACATCCGTTCCTCCTCCCGCGACCAATCCCACCGCTGCCACAGTGGTAGCCGTAACAGCTGTCGCGTCAGGAGCGAGTGCTGGTACCTCGATGCACGCAGGTGGTGGCAAGCAGACGATCTGTTGGCACTGCCTCAAGCCCCTTCCGCGTTGCTCTATCTGCCTCATGCACATGGGCTCAGAAGTAGGTGAGCTGGACGAAGTGAAGGTGAAGAGTAGTCGCAAACAATCTACAGCCCCAGCTGCTTCTGAAACCGCCACGTCGCCCACCAAGGGTAGTTTGTCAGATGCCACCGGAGTAGCTTCTTTGGAGGCGTCTGCTGGTGCTACAATGTTGGAAACCGTAATCTGTTCGAAAACATCTGAGTGGAAAAAATCAACGAAGATGAGCATCCCACTGTGAGCCTTCTTTATTGGTCGAAAGTGCTTGCGGTTTATGTTTGAGTCTTGGGCCACTCATTGTAGGTTCTCCTGGAATTAATGCATTGGTCCGCAACAAAATACTTTAGCTTCAATAAAATACAATGCATTACAATACAATTTTTGTAATCCATGATGATTTGACTTACAAGGCATGTGCAGGCTCTGTGTCAACTCTCCTTTTCCAATTTGGAAAGTAGTGAAAATCAACATCTACTGACTTAAATTCGTCAGAGTGCAAATCTTCAACATCGATTTACAGCAATTAAACTTTTAATGGCCCGTTGCATTATTTTCATTGAATGCTTAACCTATGTTTTGTGCTAAATGCCTTTGGCTTGCAGCGTTGCTCATGAACTTTCTCCACTCGGCTTAGAATCAGCAGATGGTTCTCCTAACTATGTAGCTTATTCTCCCACTTCATTTGTAAACTACGATAATTTATGTTGAACGTGTTGATGAAGCCTTGGATACATTCGTGAACCTTCTCTGTCCTTTACAATTGTTATGACCGTACATCTTCATGATCATTAGACTGTCATCCTCCAAAGCAGGAGAAAACAGAACTCCTAAAAAGTCACTTAACGAAATTGCGTTGGGCAAGAATTTGATGGTAGGTTTTGACAGAACGAGGATTGCAATCATGATATAAAGTCCTTTTTTCCTTCATCCATTCCTCCACAGAAGCAAAAAGCAGGAAGTAGTTGGTGGCAATGATGATGCCAGTCGGGGAGGTCCTCTGCGTCTGGCCAGTTGGTTTGTCTGGTGTCAGGCATGTCGTCACGGTGGTCATGCAAACCATATCTTTGATTGGTTCTACGGCGGTAGCGGTGACGGTGGCAATACTCTTTCTCCCAATCTAATTGAGTGCCCTGTCAATGGATGCTTCTGTCACTGCGCGAGTCTCGACTCCTCGGTGCCACAGCCACGTTTTACACCCCCATCCCCTACTACTGTTTCGACGGCAGGTGGTGCTGCATCTGGAGACGGACCGACAAGGAATATTGCTACGATGTTGGCGACGATGCGCGACCTGACACTGAATCCGGTTCCCTCCACATTATCATCCTCTTCTTCTTCGTTGACGTCACCGGCGCTGGCATCCATGGACGCCTCACCGCATGTGGAGGACGTAGGAGGAAAACTATTAAGACGAAGTCCAGTGACGCCTGCATCAGTGCCAAAGAACCGCAGAGAGATTGTCGATCCTGTGGTGCTGGCGGTAACGGACTCAGAAGAGGGCGAAGAGGCAATTGAAGCTGACAATTAGGGCAACTTTTTTTCATGCGATTGAGGGTTAGGGGGATGTGGTTCATTCCTCCTTGCAACTATTCTTTTTTACCATTGCTTTTGATTGTAATCTACCGTTTGTGAATTCGATCTTTCTTCTTTTTCAATCCACGGGAAGTCTTAGATATGATATGTTAGTGTAACCTACGCCCTGCACGCAAATGGATAACCCTTTAGTCATATTTGTGGGAGTTGGACAGCCTGAACGCAGGATCCGGTCACTAAAATGTCCACCATTCTATAAAATTCAGATTAATCGGTGGTGCCAAGCGCTCACTACTACTTGCCGAGAGGTGTATAATGTATCGTTACCCTATTCATTCGTTAGTGGCAAAGCTGTACCATGGTAGGTCGACCTGATGTGGGCATCATCCTCGTTGCAGACGGCAGGGCGACAAGGCCTTTATGCTTCGCCTGCGCAAAGTCAACCCCCATAATTGTACCTCACTAAGTGGGATCCGATATGTCTACACTTATCATCCGACCAAACCGAGGGAAATTGGGGCACTATTAGAATGCTTCTCAAGGCTATCAACTTACATCGAATATGTCCTCGTGATACTCGCTAAATTATCCATTTCATTGCTTAAAGCTCCCAAGTTCGGCACCATATCCAGTCGCTGTCGAATCACTTATCTTAGCTCCAGAAACCAAATTGCAGAGGGAAAAGACCTCAATCTGATTCTAGGTATGCCACCATTATATTGGGGGTGAAGATGACCAGTTGAGTAAAATCTCCAATAATCACCTTCACATTCAAGCACTCTGGCTTTAAAATCAAGGTCAGATATTAACCACAAAGAAGAAAGATTGACCAATAATAGTTGTAAATGCTACTCAACTTCAATGCAACCTCAGGGACCCTGAAACCAAGAAGAAAGCCTTAGGAACCAAAAAGCATAGAAATCTATTTATACAAATGAACAAAACATGATTGATAACAACAAGGCTAGAAATCTAAATGGTTAGTCGCTGGACTCCGACTTCTTTCTCGCAGCTTCCATCTGCTTGTCGCGGTTATTAATTTGACTTTCGATATGAATTCGATCAGAACGATTCGAGCTGAAATTATGCTTCATCTCATTCTTCGCACGATTCCTCCCACCTTTCGAGGACACTACCTTTTCTCGATCGTAGTCATATTGCTCATATTCATCGATATTCCCCGACTCACCATCCATGGAGAAACCACAACACACCAATACCCAAGAGACTACACCCAATAGTCGCTAATTAAAATAAGTAGATAATTTTAACATTTTTACACGTAAACCATATTAGCCTTTCCGTGTAAAGCAAGTAGGCCAAAATTTCCTTTCCTTAAATTTTGTGGTATTGATTTAATGGAGATTAAATGATTGCAGGTATGATAATTTATGAAATTTTTTTATCCATTCATTTGCATAGCTGACAGACATTTTATTTGTTTGTCTGTTTTTTGAAGCCAAATGTGGTGTCTTGAAACTTCCCATAGGATGGAAGAAGGCAGTAAGATTGGATACATGCATTCCGAAGAGAACAGGGCAAATGGGCCTAAGCATGGCCTGAAGGCCAGCCCACGAGTACAAGGGCTAGACAAATCTTAGAGTAACTGCCCGAACCCCGGGTAGTCACATAAACAAAGCATTACACTGCCCCTCTCTTCTTTCGAGCAACGTCCTCGGCGCTCCCTTTTAGTACACCTCCCGCGCCATCCATCACAACATATTCGGTACTACAAGAAAGCACCCACGAGCCAACCGCGCCACTCGACAAACAACACGAAACTGAGGAACCGTACCTGGTCTCCTCGGCAAATTTAACTGGATCTGGTGTTACACTCGTTCTGACATCCTGCTGACCATCAATTGCTTCCAGGAGTAGGCAGTGTAACTCCGTTCTAAAACATATATGTTACAGGGAAAACGGGATGAGCCACTATCCCGTATGCAAGGAGAAGCGTAGTGTCATGTCCAACACCTATACACGCATTTTGTAGGGCAAATCCCGACACGAAACTTTTCCAGATAGTTTACGGCGGTGTCTGTGGATCACGGGAATAAGGTAAAACCAAATGCACATGTCATTCTAAATCATTTCGTTGTGAAGCATTCGATGATTCTCCGTCACCAAGGTAAATGCGCCTCCTTCAATTCACGTCCTCTTTTCGCCTGTATCTTCATCTGCTGCACTTCGATAAAGTCAGACTTCCATCTACGCATGTATAGTTTATGATTGCCGGTGAACAATGCTAAAACGCGATTAGTGATCTTGGATTTCCCACCAAAAAGTAGAATCCCTTTGCAGTCTTGTCTGCTGGTTGGATTATAAACTTCTTGTCGTGAAAAGTGGGGTTTCGAATTTCCGGCCAAGGGAACCTGATTTTGGGGTATCTGCATGTATTAAACCAGTGCATCATCCGATCGAACCATTTCTCGTTGGCCTGTTCGCACTGCTCTTTTCCGGAAACCAGTCGACTAATTGGCAAAAGCACCTTACACTGAAAAGTCATTAAAAAATGTAGGGCTCTATTTCTGCAGCCACCAGTGTAGCGTCTCGAGGCTTCTCATAGGGCGGGAGAAGGCATAAGTGATGGTTGAATACATGCATTCGGAAGACGACAGGGCAAATGGAGCCTGAGCGTGGCCCGAAGGCCAACCCACGTTTACAGGGGACAGACGAATTCTAAAGTGACCGCCACGTCAGGTAGTCACATAATCAAAGAATTACATCAAACTTATTTCCATTTGTAATGAATAGAAGTTTTAAGATCCATTTTAAACCTTGAACTACATTAATAGAAGTCTCGAAGCCTCGGGACTTCCCATCTGGTAAAAGAAGGCATTATGCGGAGCTGAATACATATATTTGCGAGGAGAAAAGTGATCAAGACTGACCTTTGTTCGAAGGCCACCTCGCGCTTGCCAGATATCAGGTGGTCGCTTAAATATAGTATCACGGCTTTGATTTTTGGAAGAGTATTATCGGGTCGGCAATACGATGGGATATCTAATGACTTTCGCTCATTGTGGCCTTTTTATATGAAATTGAATCAAACGCGGCCCCATGTGAAAGGTTCGTACAATTTTTACCAATCTTTGAGCCATATTAAAGCCTAACCTCTTCCTTTATCCTTGAATGCATGTATGCAACCCCACTTAATGCCTTCTACAACACTTTGCTCATGTCCCTACCGGATATATGGTGGCTATAATGGGCGTGGGTTGACCTTCGGGCCACGCCATGTAGCTACTTCATATCCTTTTTTTCAGATCACCTCCATTCTGCCCAACATGATACTTTCTTCTACTTGGGAAATCTAGAGACATTACGTTCATATTGCCAGCACCAATTTTCTGATGTGTGGGATTAATTCCAAAACGATGTTTTTAGTACGATCCTTGAGGATATTGGTTCAGTTCTGAATACCTTGTCAGTACTTCTGCTATAGACATGCTGGGGAATCTACCACTCACACACTATGAGTTTGTCGCAAGCGATGAAAAACAGGAAAGAATGAGTATCGAATTGAGATTCGCCCGCTACTACCACCAAAAAAGCGTTCCGACACTTCCCTTCTGACAAAAGAAGCACTGGTTTGTTGAGAGAAAAATAAGCGTTCAGCAAAAGACCGCCACTGATACGGAAAGTCACATAAATAAATTACTGCAATTTTAATGCGCTAAAACATAATTGCTTTGTTTAAACGATAAAATTTCGATGATATTTCGTCATATGTATATGGCTAAACGCTATTGAGTGCATTACTTAGATGCCTAAAAAGTGTGATCGACGCCTTGAATGATTGGGAAACCATGTAAGCGAACAAATTAGAACACACAGACACATTAGTGTCCACTTTGCGAAATTCGGCCAAACATTCTACTCGAGCATCGCAATGGCAAAGACGTTTTTATAGCATGAAGTTTATGCGAAAGTTCAAGGCAAGTACCTAAAAATTTTAACCCCTCCCATGCTTCTCAAAATATTATTTTTATCATTTTCCTTCATTTTTATACACCCTGCGCTAGTTACACTTTGCTGTGCGATCATTCACGGTACTTGCTTTGTCGAGGCTCCCAGCGTCGCGCACCTGTCAGTTTACACGATAGAAGCAATATGACAACCAAATTAATTGTAACCGAAACCGAGAGTCAAACAAACGGTAGTAGATTCGCATACCTTCTCCCTTCCAACGGGTATCGCCTTTGATGCTTTTCTAATGGCCTTACTACATTTTTGTCAAAAACTAATTATTTCTAAAGCAGCACCTAAGAGTCAGTCAGCCGTTGAATTCTTATGCTTCAAGGTGATGCTTGCCCGGTAGGATATCTTATCTACTTTAAAAACCGAATGAAATGTCTAAGCTAGACGTCGGTTAAAATACTCAAAATCAGATTTGTGCAGGGCAAATGGGATTTAGCGAAGTTCTTAAGCAGAAGTTTCTGTGTGTGATCCTTACCACTACGTTGTCCTCACTTTCGGAATTGACTTGGCATCATTTTAGGCTGTGGTGAAGTGGAGAGCTACCCCAACTTACTTTACACTTTCAAGCACGCACCACAGGAAGGTGCTGAATTGGGACGCTTTTAGACATATAGCAGAGGGGTGGATTTCCGTTTAAAATGACATAATTTAGGACTAGACGTTGAAGCACTGACCCAAAAGCGATGTTTAATAGGGAAGGTAGAATCAAACGAAATTTCATATGGAAGAGAGCTCAACTTAATATCATCGGTAGCATTTATGTGCAGATGTGGTAAGCAAACGCCGATACGAAACTTTTCAGATGGTTCACGGTGGTGTCTCTTCACTTGCTTATGTCGTACTAGTGAAATGTGTTTGTGGGGTAGAGCCACACGCATACATCTTTCTGAACTCTTCTGCCACAAGGAACTCAACAAATCCCTCACCTGAAGCTTATGCGCTTCCTTTCCATCCCAGACATATGTCACGAACGGTGGACATCAGGGTAGTTGCAACAAATCGAGATTCGCTTTCTGCTGCAACTAGAGTAACGACCTGGAACTTCAAACCAGGTAGGAGAAGTTATCAAGTGGACAAATAAAATCATGGTGGAAAAGGAGAAATTTGGCTTTGGATTGGCATAAAGACCAGCAAGTGCACACCAAAGCAAGGCAAACATTTAAGTGACCGACAGTCCTAGAGGTGGTGGAGTAAACAAGGTATCAAACGGCCTTCATCCCAATTTTTGTTAAAGCGCTAAATGCATTATCTTGGCTGCGGTGAGGAACATCTTGAACGGAACATTGGGAAGTCACTTAAAGGAAAATAACGGGCGTGAAATTTTTGATTATTCGAACATAATCATGAGCGATGATCACTTTGGTATCCTTGCTTTTGACAAGTGAGCTAATCATCTAGCCAAGTTGGCGGTGGAATTTTTCTTGGCTCTCTAAATCAGGTAGTTCTCTAAAGCGTTACGTCGCTTTTCAGCAAAACAAAATTCTACCGACGAACCAGACCATGCCAGTGCAATGCTTCGCTTATGTGACCACATGACGTTTGGCGGTCACTTTAGGATTTGTCTAGTCCTTGTACACGCGAGCTGGCCTTCGGGCCGTGCTCAGGCCAATTTACTCTGTCCTCGTTGAAACACATTTGTACGATTTCACTTTCTGCCTTCTTCCACCCGGTGCAAAGTTTTGGGACGTTACAGTCAGTACCCAGTCGATATTTTTTATCTGTTTACTCGCATCCAACCATGCTTCGTATCTCCTATTGCCAAATGATGGGTCTATGGGTGCTGCAACTAGCTTTTTAATACCCTATTTATGTGACCCCTAGATATCTGCCGATTAATTTATTATTAGTTCAGCCCTTGTAAATGTGAGCTAGATTTCAGGTTATGCCAGAAAGCTGTCTGAATTTTTCTTCCCAGAATACATGCATTGTGTCTGACGGGATTTTAACAACTTGTTCATTTGTTCAGCTAGTGTCTGACCGTTACTTTAAGACTTCGCCTGGCCTTGGCTGACCCTCAGGTCGAGTTTAGACTCAATTCCTTTGCTTTCCACGAAATACACTTGTATAGCTGCACTTAATGCTCTCTTCCACCTGGTGGGAAGTCTCACAACGCTACAGTAATGCCTTCTTATATTTGATAAAGATCTCGGGGAGCTACAAGCGTTACATTGTTAATAAGCTTTGAGTAAATTGTAAAGCTTAGCTTATGTGGCTATCTGGCGTTTGGCGGTAACTCTAGAATTCGTCTGGCCTTCGGACCACGCTCAGACTCCATCCGCCCTGTCGTCTTCCGAATACATGTATTCACTCTCACTTATGCCTTCTACTACCCTATAGGAAACCTCGAGACGTTACATAAAGAAACGATTCGAAATTTTAGGAGCTTTAAAAGCAATTCATAGCAGGTTGCTCTAGCCCTTTATAGATTCGTATAGGGGATTCCGTAGCATTTCAAGACTATCCACTGGGTCGAAACAGTAAGTAAGGCTGAATACGTGCATACCAAGGTGAATAAAGTAAACAGGCCTATGCAAGGCTCTACGGTCAGTCCACGCGTTCAAGTGCCAGACAAAGTTTAAAGTGACCGTCAGAAACCAGGAGGTCACATAAGCATTGTACTACCGATCAGCCTTGGTGTTGTTGTTATCTGATAATATTTGGAGGACATTTAGAATATTTCGAATATTTTAACCCAAATTGTACATGGATGCATGCCACTCTAAGATTAAATTAAAAGTAAACAAGCAGTGCGCGATCTACACGGACAAAGATAGAAGTTGTTAGCTATCTTTGCAATCTTCCTAACTTTAAAATGGTTTGTATTGTTTAAGTCTACTTGTTTGATTCGAGCATTTGGAGTTAGCCAATGGGATGGCGGGTCGGCTGGGCAGCCTAAACTTTCGCGATATCGCCGTTACGACTGTGTATCTGCCCTTTTGTTGCATGATCGGATGTCTGTCATATGCCATGTTTTTTTATTTTGATGAGGTAACAGAATCGAAATGTGGAGTTCATAATTTTGTGCCTTCAATCAGTGGGGCAGTTTGCATGCGCCCCCTGTTGCATTTATGGCGATTTTGTATTGTTGCACATGCCGTTCCTCGTATTTTTGTTACCCATCTTTATTATCATTCGCATATGGCGTTGGCAGACAAAGTCGTATCATGGAGATCGTACACATCACTTGTTTCTTTGATATATCTCCTTGGCCTCAGTGATATCCTTTCTCTTTGCGGTTTGACAATCGTCTCTACTGTGGACAACTTTAGTAAGGCTATATTTGTGTATGTCTCTTCAGATGTCCACGAATTTTTCTTCATAATATTTGGATTATCCAGCTTTCTGTATATGACATCAGAATTTTACCTCCATTTTCGCCTAAATTGTCAAAGGCTTCTACCTCGGACTGTAAGCTTTTTGCTTGAATAGTCTATAAGTGCTTGAGTAGTTTAAAAAGTCTCTATCTGACAAAGCAGTTTTTCTTGGACTTATGTTATTTTGTGGGGTGTTTGCCGCCAAATATTACTATGAGCATCACATTCTTTGCAAACCAAATGGTAAGTAGAAATGTTCGTTTGTTTTTACTAATCGGCCCATTTCGTTAATATTCAGCACTCTCTGTTTCCTATTGCTTTTGCAAGATTCTTTTTAACTCAAAATTCCATCTTGATTAAATTTTGTTTCTTTACGGAGGTCAGCCAAAAGTTTCGTTGACTATATCCAACTTTGTCGTCATTTTTGAGATTGGACCGTGTATACCTCAAATGTGTGAAAATTAGTGGGTCTTCAAGGTAGGGCTTAAAATATTTCTTATTTTGGCCGTTGGCGCTGGAATATGTTGATTTAAGAGAAACTTCTGTAATTAACCGTTTTGGTAGACTGAACTGCTTACTAGTGCCTGTTTATGTATAGGTTGCGAACTACGCCAATTGGTTCGTGAGGTTTACTTTTTTTGCGTCTGCTTAAGACTTCCAATCTTACTCTCATCTTCTTTTGGAGTTGGAACATATGCAGACTGCTGCAAATGCAGCTGCGAGGAACCTGCCTTTGATATGGACAAAATTAATTCTGCTATTTTTATGTAGTCATTGATTTTTCTTTTAAAGCCTTTAGCTGGTTCTCCATCGCCGAATTTGGTATCGCCTTTGCAAATATGGGCTTCCACGGGACCGCAGCTAAGGACTTCTACAACCTCAAGATTATTGCTTCTCTCACCTGAATAATGTCACGAACAACCGCAATTTTGCTTATTGCAATCGTAGATGGCTTAATAAAGCGCTCTTGTTTTGTTTTTTTCTGTCCACCGTTTGGTATATGCTGCTGTGTGCAATTAAGTGTTTTTAGATGGATCACTCAACTTTATGTGTCCGCTTCTTCACTGTTAGGGCATGTCCTCATCACGACCAGAGGAGAGGGTAGCTATAGAGAGGTAGGTTAATTCTCTTTTGATTTCCTTATACGTTTTCACAACTTAAGTGATTTTGTTTTTAAGGGGTCACATTTTTGCGAAAAATTCCTTTTACCAGTCTAAGTTTTCCATCTACGAATCTATAGAGTAATGCAAATGGCGTTGAAACTTCTCTCAAGAGTTTTGTAATGGTCTTTAATTGACGGAAAACTGATTCCACCAGACCTTGTGGTTATTTTTTTGGTACATTGTTATGTTAGCACTTAAAATCTCATTTCCTTATTTTTTAAAATTTTTTTACACTATAATCCTTTTTTCAAACAGATATAGCTCTGTAGTTCATTTTTGAAGCAGCCGAATTTTCGCGGGATCACGTGAAGTACTTTTGGTCTACTATCTTATTGTTGCTTGTAAATACCTGTTTTTGGCGTTGCATAAAGTGTTTAGACGTAGAGCAAAGCAATTCTCACTTATTACTAATATATAACTCGCACTCAGTGGATTGTATTAACAGTGAATGAAAGCTCATTGACTTATTCAGTCTTCTTTCTATTGGATGAAATACGCCTTTTTAATGCCCTCTAATGCAAGACAGAACCTTCGGAATACGAGATTCAAGCCTTTTGGGGATGCATTCATGGATTTTGTCCTCTAAAATTATAGATGCATCCGTTCTTTCATAATCAAGTCCATTCAGGCCATCGTACAGGCTCGCAGTGGAACTGCCTACGCTACAGCTTGTATTTCCGACGTGGGAGCTCGAAATAATCTCGTAAGTGTCCCCATTTTGCAGTATCAAAAGGCTACCTCATATAGCTGTGTGGCCTATTTGAATATTGTCCGAATGGGTTTCGTTAAAAATGTACATGTTAGCTGATCCCGTTAGTCGATCCTGCTATTATAGGTCACTTGGATTTGGCTGTCCAACATCGGTTATTACCTTCTCCTCACCCACTGCTTTTCATTTCCGAAACAAAGCTGTCAGCATGGCTTGATTTCAACCATGAGGGACTTTTAGCAACTCTAATTTAGCCGTTCTTTTGACCATTGCTTCTTATAATGTATGTGCCTCAGTTGCATAAAATCTGTTGCAGCACCATAAATACTGCATATTTTTAAAAATTTGGGATGTAAACAAATCCCAACTGTGAGTATCTCCTCACTTCCTGTCGTATACCACGTTTTCAAAATGTGTAGATTGGTAGGATTTTGACTGTATCTACACTAATGAATAATAGCTGTGCAAGTCCCTCGGTTGTTGCAAGAGCATACGACACCTGAGAACTAGACCTTTTGTTTACGATGAAATCTGAAAAAGAGTTAAAGGCAACAGCATCGGAATGGTTGTCAATTCTTGGTTACCACTCCTTGACCACTTTCTCTGCCAATTTCTGAATCTCCTCCCGGAACGCATTTTTGCATTCTTTCATTACTTCTATTACGACTAGTGGGTAGAAGTGGCCGCTGTCTTAAATTCATGAAAGTGGCGAATCAATTCTGACTTTTCAGATGGTATACCTTGAGGAGGACCCAGAGATTGGCGCCACGATAAAGCAGAACCTTGACTCCGGATTCCCCATCAAGATGGGTCAGTGGTTTTTTTCTTTTGCGCCGCTCTTTGCCTTTTCTGTGCACTCACTTTTTGCACGGCGCATCGTAACGGCGGAGCCGGCGCCACTCCGCATAAAAGTGCTAACCGAAACGAGTGACCAATTCGTCCATGACGTGGCGGACTTTCCTATAATAAGCTTAATTTTATTGCAAATGTTCTTTTCCGACAAGAAATGAGCCTTCACGGGAATATAGAATTAACCAAATTTTAGCCACGTGAGCCGTGTATTATACTTTACAATCTTTTTTCATGATTTGTGCTCAGTTTACTCATGATCCTTAAAGTGTTGGAGAAATGTTACCATCAGTTTCATTGTTACCTGCAGGTTTTCGCTAAATTTGGCTTTGTTAAGTTGACCTTATAACTAACGCTAATAGTATAAAACCAGCTTTCATTTCATCAATTTTCTATTGAATAAATTGTAGTAGCAATAGTTGTATACGTTTACATAGAATCGGGCCTCATCGCGGTTTTCTCAATTTATGTCCACCCTTAATGAGAATTTATTTGTTCACTCAACGACTGAATAAGTTCGACTTTGCGCACTGGAACAAACCTAGCTGGCAGTACAAACGTTGTGTAATCCTTTTAAAAATGTAACGATACAGGTGACACCTTCAGTTTGGAGATTCTCATGAGCAACGGAGCGGGTCGACTGGTGGTACTAGAGGTTTGGCAGTTTCGATTAGACACTGAGGATAACCTTCTTCAACGCGCACACCTACCCTGCTCCAAAGTCGTAGCCAACCACTCTGGCCTCCAGCCCCCTATATACTTTCCCACAGTCACCAGTCCCACCGTTTCCAGTTCTGCTACTGGTGTTTCTGACGCCACTATCGTAGCACCTCAGTGCTTCGCGGTGGAAGATTTTAGGCGTTCCCGCCTCTTCGAGCGCCTCGCTAGCCTGCTGAAGAGTCTCCTTGTTACCACTCGAATGCTTCCAGGTTTGTTGCCCGATCTGTGTTCTGATTTAAAAGTTTTTGGTTTAGGTACTTTGGAGCGGTTTTTCTGGACCATAAACAATAATTATTAGATCCTTTTTCTGAAACAAGATTTTGACCGGGGGAACCGACCGTATTTCACTTAAATACCTTATTTGCTTCAAGGAAAACAAATACTCCTCTTGATTCAGGAGCTTCACAAGTTGTGCATTCTTCTCTGAGGTTTTGGTAAAGCGTTTAAAGCAACATGCTATACTCTTTCGGACAATGGATAGATGCATTAGCGTAATTTGATGTTCGATAATATAGACTCATACGAATAGCATAGGCAAAATATTCCTCATTAACGTATCTACTCGTCCAGATTTTCTTTCTGATTATTCGGTATATGTAATACCTATTCTCGACACTTCAGCTTACACTTATTCGCGCAAGCAGCAACACGAGATGTGCTACACACTGCGTAGAGGCGAGGTGTCCTTCGATCGATTGGGTCAGGGAAATGTCATCTGTCGTCAGGTGGGACACCTCTTTCCCGGGATCGCGGTTGGACCCAACTCCACTCACCTCTTTCTCAACGTTTCAGTTCACTATCGTGAAAATCTGAGCGATATTGACTCAGAAGAAGCTCCCCAACATCTACTGCAATCTCAACCGCATCGACCTCGATCCCGAAGGCCGTAAGCCACCTTTAAAAGAACTACTTGCTAGCTGTTAATTCCTTGCTTACTTGCTTTTACTTTCCTTTGCAGATACATTAGACTTGCATTTGCTCCTACGCCAGAGGATGACGATGATTATTTGGAAGAGGAAGAAGAGGAAGACGAAGAAGAAAGTGAAGGTAACTTCACCTATCGAATCGGGAAGGAGGGCCTACCGGTGAGCTCCTCTCCTTGACTCATGCTTGTTCAAGATTCAATGCAGTTCTTTTAGCAATGCATCCCGACATAAGTAACAGAGTTTTCTTCGTGATCACTATCAAATTTAGTTGTGCACTTTATTGCACACTTTTCCAGACAAAACAATTCTGAGCACCTGAGCTTTGACTCAATTAGTGATCATCTACATGATGATTCTGCTATTTACAACCAATTATCTGCGTGATGGCATCTTGGATTAACTATCAAATAGTTTTCAAGTCATCTTTAAAAAGTTGAAAGGTGTGAAATTACGGAAGTACTCTTATCATGCTTTTACGACAACAACCAGGCTATCAATGTAATCAGTCGGAAGGACGAAGGCGGCTCAATTTCAGAGTACAACTGTGTAATCGAGGAAATCTGTTTCTACAGCGCCTACGATTAAGAGCAGAATGTTCTAATTCTTAAGTTTTTTTTTTGCCACAAGACGTAATGAGTGGTAAAAAAATGTCGAAAATCCACCTCAGTCGAAACCTCCTGTAATTAAATAAACCCTGCCAATTTCGTTTCCAGCCCGGTGAAGGGGAAGCCATCTACGATGACACCACAGGTCGTTGTTACTACTGTTACCATGACGAGGCTGAGAACGGTGAAGCAGAGGTGACAGTTGAGGATGAATCTGGACATGCAGAAGATGAGGGGGAAACGATGTCGAGTACTTTTGTCTCGGGTGAAGCCGATCGTGAAGTTGGTGGCGCCACCGATGGCGGCGAACGTGCACCTGGTCGAATGCCCCTCCATCTGCCCTTCAGCACAGTGGACCTAGATGGTGGTACAGGCGGCGGTTGCGCGCGCATGGCCCATTTGGTAACAGAGCTACGAACTAAGACTGATCTGGATCTATTCCGAGTGCCCGGTGCCTCTGCCAACCCAGCCTCCTCCTCTGCCACCGCCTCCGTGTTTGATGCAAACGCTCTGGGCGACGAACTAGCACAGCACGAGCAAAAGCTACGCGAGTTCGATGATTTCTTGGCAGACTTCACTTTGGCTGTGCCAAATGTCGGAGTAACTCATCACTAACAGATTGTCAGATTTGTTCTTATAAATAATCACATTATGGTTAATTTTACTACCATAAAGCCGAGTATATCGTGCTTCACGTATTGCGTTTCAAGACGGTGGAAGGTGGTTCCTGGGGGTTGCTGTTTGAGTCAATCAACTATCATCACTCGTACTAGCAGTACTCTCGTTCGTGGTCTCCGTCATTGGTATTGCCGTATTTATTCATCAAACACGATAGTCGTCGAAAGATATTAACAGGGTACGTCCATCTCCCCTCATCGTTCGTGCAAGCGCCTATTTTGGTAGAAATCCCATGGTAGAAAAGGTGCAAATTAAATGAAATAGCTAGGTTCAGTGCAGAGACGGTAGTCCAGCCGAACGAAGTCCAATTGCTCAGCTGTTGTGAGGTTCTCCGGAAGCAGCTGCTGATTAATCAACCCAGTAATGCCTAGTCGAACTGACTGGAAGACATCTCGTTCAGGATCGAAGAACTTCAGTGGGGAAGGCTCCGGCAAAACTTCCTTAAATACACAACTTGATATTGAATGGTTTCAAACTGATTGAAACTAATTCAGAACGAATCCAAACTGTTTCGCTAGATTTTATCTCAGCATTAATGTTTCCTGAGTAATTGCATTTGACATTAAAAGTCGAATGTTAATTTCGTATGAATTTTGAATCTGCGCAACTCTCCACAGAGACATTCAAAACGATGGCCTTACACCCCATCTGTGTACAATTCTGCCTGGTTATTTTGAATAGTAAATTTGCAGTAAAAGCAAAGCATTAGCAATTAACTCAAATCAACCTCCCAAATTTGAAACCCATAACGTCAAACTGATCAAGTTGATCTCTGCTACTAGGACAAATAAAACAGACGTAAATCACAACGAGTAGAGAAGAGCATTGACAACTGTGGAGGAAGAATCTCCCTAAAACTGCAATTAAGAAACTGCATTTTTATAACACGGGGGCATTTAAGATCAACACAGCTCTACTACCAACGATGGAATTACATAAAATCGGATGAGTCAATGAAAATAATGGGATTCAAAAAATTTTGTGAACCGAAAAGAGAAAATAACGACTCACTGCCTTGGGAGGATGAAGCCGTGCAGCCTCAGCGAGGAGAAGGCGACGCCGGCGCGCCATCTTGTCCCGCTCCGCTTGCACCACCTCGTCGTCGTCAACAGAAACTGCCAAAAGGTCCTTGTAGAGCTGCTCCTTCCGCGTGTAGTTCATACCAATGCTTCCACTGCCGCGGCTGCACTTTCCCCTCACCCCTTGCCGTTGCACCACCTCCAACTTTTCCGCATTGGATGCCACCTAATGCAAAGAAAAGTAGATAAACGATCGTCTTACTTTCGAAGAAAATGTTATTAATGCCTGTCAGCAATGCTCAGAAAGGAAATCCTCGTCATACACAGGCAAAATCAATGAAAATTGATGGAGCAAGCCAAAAAGTGGCAGGTTTGGCAACAAGGATAATGATCAAATGCATAATTGTGTTCTGATTGAATCAGGCTACCACACTTGGAATGTACTTGCAATTATCAAGTAGTATTTGTGCCCCAATGTTCCAGCAGGGGGCCCTACGAGTCTAAGGAATTCCTATAATTTGAATTGCAAACAAAAGGCAATCACTATCCTACATCAAACAGCATCACTCATGCAAATAAACCCAGTGGTAATGAGTTATACTAATTGAGACCAGTTACATCGGTATATAGTGATGAGCAATAGCTCAAAGTTAATCGTAGGTCACAGAATTTCTCCAAATAAGTGCTACATTAATCTATGCAATGACGCCAGATATACACAGAAAGTGGTACATCTACAGATCCTGCAAGCCCAAAGCAAGCAGCAATAGGTACCACTAATATCAGTGAAGAACTACCTACAAACATTGTGGACCCGCGTGCATTGATCTCGAAATATATGCCGTGTTAGCCTAGAATGGGAAATCGTATTTTTCTAAGGAAAATGTCCCATCTGCAAGATTTAATAACTTTACCAGGACGTTTTGACAAATGAGAGACGTTTAAGTTCGACATATTTTGTGCAGGAGCGATATAGGCTCGGAGCAGGCGAGGCGAGGAATAATACTTGCTCCAGATGAAGATTTCAATAAAAGCATAAGTTTTGAAACAATAGATAAATTTTTTTGGAAAAGTTACGGCTAGGGTTCATTGCAGTTCTCAACAGCAAACAGAGCTGAAGCCTCACCGATTGGGAGGCCTTATGAATGCGATTGGCGATTTGAATAACCTCCTCCTGAAGCATCCTGACACTGTTCATTTTTGGCTCATCAAGAGAGAGCGCCTCCAGAGTCTGCTGCAATTGAGGTTCATCGAAGACTGATAAGTCAAGGGACTCCGAGGGTGTGACTGAGGGAAACAGCGATGAATGAAGTTGCGCATCATCCACTGTATACATATCGTCGCATTCGGTTAAATTTTCTTGAGAGGGAGCATCAGCATGCAGAAATACATTTGCAGCTTTGGGTTCTACAGACGAAGAGCACATATCGAATCGAACTTGTTTGGATTTGACGCCACGGTCACAGTCTACTGCGTAAGGCAGAGAATAGAAATATCACGATGAAGAGAAATAGTGGATTCAATGAGTAAAATTTACCTTCAACAGACAAGAACGAGGCCTCCGAAATAAGATCAAGATCCGTTTGTGAATTTTTGCTCATAGCTTAGTGAAAGAAAATAGGCAAAAATGGTAAAACCTGTGAAATTAGCTTTTCTTAATCTATTCAGGAAAGGGCGATACATGAATGTCCGTATTATGGCAAGCGTAAAGTTTAAGAACGAAATGTTCGTCTGATAAAGTTATAAGCAGACCTAAAAATAGATGCGATACCTCACTAACTGAAAGGGGAAAGAACCCAGCGCGACCATACACTGCAATTAAAAATGCGCGAATTGTGCTGTGACTGCGTTGAGCTAAACAAACACGAATCAATAAATGTCTACAAATTTTAAGCTTTTAAAATTAACAAGTTTGTTAACATCGACATTTTTAATAGCTGCATGCTTTCGTTATCAGAGGTTTTGCTAAGACATTGTTTTATTTGATTCCATCGAATCCGCAACCTTTGAGATAGGTTCGACGTGCGCGTTTCATTGACGGTGGGTTGCAGTCGCTGTCTTTACATATTGAGTTCTACGAGGCTGTAGAAAGGCACGTAAAGTTTTCGAAGAATTAGATGGTTGCTCTGTATCTTGATAGCTGGAGAAATCGTTCTATTTGTGGTGCTCTTATACGCGGATTTATTATCTCTGCAATAATTTGCAAGCTCATTTTATGTCTATCCATTTGAAAACGCAAAAGTCTTGATGTCTATCTAGATGTCCCGTTCTTTGACGGCCATCTAGTTTTAGTCGTCGCTGCTCTTCGCCACCAATTTTTTGATAATTGCCTTGAGTCTCCTTCCTTTCCATTGTGAACATGGCTGCGACACCTAAGACCACTTCGCGTGAGGAAAAGGTGGTAAAAATTGAAACCTTTATTAATGACAGACTCCGGAAAGACCTCAAGTAAGCATCGCTACTCAGCACTTTATTCTCTTTTTGCAGGCTCACTCTTGATGCGGGTGACGCCATCTATGCTGAGATTTCTGAGTATCTCGAGCTGCAGAACCTACTGGAGAAGTTTTCTGAGGTAGGCTTTAGGGATGACGACAACGATGGTGCGACCGAGACCATGGTCGACATGGGTTGCAATTTCTACATCAAGGCTCACATGTGAGTTGTTCCATCTGACGCGATGCGTTATCAAATTACGCAGTAGTATCCACGCGGTGCCTACTCTTTCACAGAGGTCCCATACCCTCTGTCGCTAATGCTTATTTTGTGGCACCCATGCGCTTGCCTTGTTTGACGGCACAGATTTCATTAACTTCACATAGGTGTAGAGCTCATTGAGGAGTCATTCCTGCTTAAAGGCCTAGGTGTGTCGATCTCTGCATTCCTAGTTAGCTGTCGTGATCTCCCCTGCTGCCTACGTCTCCATCCTCCTCGCAATAAACCAACAGAAACTCAAGTTTCTCGTGTGATTTAGTTCTAAGGTTCGAGTTGGTTTAATCACCTTGTTCAGCTTGGCACCGCTACCGTCTCAGCTAACTTTGTAAAGCTGCGCAAATTCTGTCATGTGTTCATTCCATTTAAAAGTGAATCACAAGTTACACGACTGTACCAACAGGGTACGAGACACCTGGGTGTACATGGCAAGCGCTAAATTCTGAACATGGAAATTGTGTAGATTTGGTGCCTCATTTTGTGGCTTTTGCGACTGCAAATCAGCTTTTTTCCTACGAGTTATCCTTTGATACTGTTTTGGTATTTAAGTCCTTCGTTGGAGCGTCTCTACGTGGACGTAGGTTTGGGCTTCCACGTGGAGCTGACACGTGACGAGGCTTTGGAGTTTGTGCGTCAGCGTGTGGAACTACTTTCCGCGAGAGCAGAGATCTTCCGCCAGAAGGCATTTGAGATCCGTGCGCGCATCAAGGTGTGCCTACAGGGCCTTCGTGAACTTCAGACTCTCGATATGGAACCCCGGCCTGACTTCCGCGACGTTCTCGCCTAGACCACCTCTTTTTATTATAAATAGAGTGATGCTGGCCAATGTATTGGCAATTGTGGCCATTTTTTCCACTAATTTTATAGAAAAAACAAACAAATACTTCTGACAACTACTGGAAGATCGATGTGTTGCGGAATCCTCTGCGAGAATGTACTTCAATTTTTGAACATAGACCTCGCAATGGGCACGTTTTGCAGCGCAATTGTCGATGCATAAAGTCGACTATGAGAATCTCGATAATGAAGTCCAAATTTGCAATCTCTATGCTCAAGCCATTACTTTTGGTGATGGGTGAACTCCGATTTAACGAGCAGAGGCTAAAGTCGGAAAGAAGTTAATAGTGGTCGATCCCTTACTCGCGCTCACAAGTGGTGGTCTCGCTGTCTCTCGTTGAGTTGATCAATAATAAAGCCGGGATACTGATGTCGTAATTACGACTTCCGCCGGGAGTAGCAGGCTTCCTCCAAATCCTTTACATATCGGTCCTAAAAGATACGGGACAATTAGCATCAAGAAAGGAGTCGTGAGTAATTGAGAGATCGTAGAGGTAGTGGAGTTTTGAGTCCTATTTTACTAAATTAATGTACACATGATAAGTTCAAAGTATTCCGGGCGCCATTTTCAGATATTCTGCATCGAACGCAACTCGTGTTGTCGCTGTGCCAGATTCTGTAAGGAAAATTGGCTCGATAAATGCCCGATTTTGTTCCTTTTAGTTACCGATAATTACGGAACAAACCTCCTTAATCCGAGAAACCTGTCGAAGTGCGGAATCACGTGAGGCCTGAAGCAGAAAGAGTGGTCATTATTTGACTTGATAAAACAGCAGGCTTTCTTTTAGACGCTTACTGTTGGAAGTTTTTATTCTGTCTAGAAATTTGAGGTGCAGACCATTTTGTGCTCTCCATGGTATCTAAAGCTGCGGGAAATCTCAACAAATGCAGCATGTGCAATATTCATCGCAGCAATCCGCGTTTCACTGAAGCATCGTTGTGGATTATCTGAGTTAAAATGCTTCACTTTCTTACAATTTTCGATAACAATTTTTTTACCTCATTCTCTTCACTTGCATTACAAATGTGTGAAGTATTGTACAGATTTGCTATTTAGTCAAGCATACATTAACGAAGCAAAAATAAGACACGAACGCAATAGAGTGGGTAAAAAAGGAAGCACTCAAGTTTGAAATGCATCATTTTGATTAATCAGATATTCGTTGGTCTTTAAGTAGGTGAGGCGAGACGTTTTACATGTTTGTGTGCAAATTCAAGAGTAAGCGTCTAAATCTGAATTGGAGCAGCGTAGCAACCACTGTATGAGGATTCTGGGAGCAGTTGATGAATCATCCCTTCAGCAGTTCCTCAAGCCTAATGCGATGTGTTATGTTCAATGACTATTGGTTTCGAATGAATTACGAAACACAGTGCTATACTTAGACGAAGAAACAAGTCTACGATGGTAACTAGATCTAAGTGAGGGGAGGATTTAAGAACCTGGGGATAGGCGAAGTCGGGATCTGTAATTGCGGAGAGGAAGTCGGAGGCGGGGAGAGCGGCAGCGATGGCAGTATTGGCGGTGAACGAAACAGATGGGAGGGTTGACTCAGTGTACACCGTTGGTAAAGCACTTGAGGCACACTGTTTGTCTTGCAAGCTCACATCGGCACGATCTGAAGCAATTGAGCATTCAGAGTAATTTGTTGAGGAAACTTTTAGTTGTTTGACAATGAGGTGACAATACTTACGTTGGTCCGAAATCGTGTACGTGCTCCCAAATTTTTGTTTCTTCATCTTTTCAAGGACGCCAGCTAGGTTCCCCTGCTGGCACGAAGTCTATAAGGAGAATAGCATTCCTATAATTTGTTACTAAAATATAAACAAGTAAATGATAAGTTTTATTTTTCCTAATTACTCGACCCGAAGATAGAGGAACGTAACTGGTGCTGCGTGACGGACGTCGGACATTTCCTTGAGTGCGCTTTTTGTATGCCAACCTGGTTTCTAAGACCTTTGCCTCCTTGGAAGCCCTCTCCTGTGCCTCCGCCATTGCCGCATGTCTTGTCACCTACGGAATTTGAACTACAAATTGCCAACTCCAACTTAAGTATACTGAAATAATGAACTCCAAAGTAGGATCTGACCACACGTTTCACCAAAACCGAAGTATTAATCGAAAAACATGCAATACATTCAATCAATTACACTAACGAAATATGCATGCACGTGGTCTCGAACTAGATATCAGAGACCTCACACAGTTGCATTGCTTAAATTAACAAAGAAAGAAGCCCTTACTTCAGCTTCACGTCGGCGCGAAAGCTCGGTCTCGTGCTCCTGGCGAAGACGAGCACGTTCTGCCTCAAGGCGCGCAGTTTCTTCTGCCTCTCTTCGGGCCTCCGCTTCGCGCTCTTGGCGCCGACGCTCCGCGCGCTCACGTATCTGCTCTGCGTACGCCATCTTTTTACAAAGAGGAGTAGAATGCCCAAGAGGAATCCAACTATAAGTAAGATCACTACGTGCCTAGCATGCTCAAATATGAATAGGAAATGGAGCCATTACTTGGAATAATGAGATCAACAATCGACTGTTAGCCTTTTGTTCCATCTGATATTCATTATCTTTAAGCTATTCACATAAGGGACACGGTATCCTTTCATAATTTATAAATCACATTTTTGCATTGATTCCAATTTGCCGACATTATAACGTGCTGGATGAAGCCAACTGCCAGAATGAGATCAACATATTTTATTAAAGTACTCAAATTTTCAAAATGGCGCCAAAAGGAGTCAACTGGACCTATACTTAAACTTGGAACGGTGCTACAGTGCTCAAATGGTTCAGCTTGCGAATGTTGGTTCTGGCAAATCCCATTGCACTACTAACATCTACTTTATTCTATGCAGCTTCGATAGCCTATAAGTGCTATGAAGAAAACATCCTAACAATCAAATCTGTCTGCTTTACTCATTGACACTCAGTGAAAATGCAAACATTATTCACAATAACTTTTCAGCAAAAACGGCACATTTCTGGATTTCTGCATTACCTGCAATTCTAGCTGCTGTTGACGCTTAGCTGCGGAGTCACTATCCTGCTTCTCAAACAGGTCTGCCAATCCGCGACCCCTGCCAAAACTAACAGACTTTACATCACATTGGGCCGTGCCACTGGGTCTCTCCACTCCCGCTGCACGCCTTCCCTCCTTAATGCCATCCGCGGTTTCAGTGAAGTTTTGGAGACGTTCGCGTTCTCGCGCCATTCGCCGCTCTTCTACTTGACGGTCCAATTCTACTAACCACTGCCGTCGTTGCTGTTCCTGGCAATGAGAAAGGAATACATTCCACCAGAAGGGTTGCGATCGTCTAAATTGATCATTTTGTTGGGATGTGACTTAAGATGAAGCAGTGGTAGCACGGTTCATCCTATTTGGTCGTGACCATCACTAAAGCCAGCCAATAGATCAGGTATGCCTAATCGATTTTAGGGGGGTTTTGTACATGAGAAGTAACCTGAGTAGGTCATGATCACTGACTGGCCGTGCACCCAGGCTATGAGTTCCGCCCACCAGGCAAACAAATAAACATTTTCGTTGACAGCTTTGACTTCTCTCCCCATGGTCGAGTTCCAGAAGGACACAATGGTTTAAAATTACTTGAAAAGGCATTTAGTAAGTTGAAGTTTCGTGAGGTGTAACAGCAAAGAGTATACCTTTCGAAAAATGGAGAATGCACCCCACAGAGTTCAACAAATGTGATACCAACCATAAAAAGAGAATTCCCTTGAAATTTCAGCAGATATTTGTTAATAGACATTTCTTGATCAACAAAGGATTTGGCATTCTGAGCCCACCTGTAACTATTCAATGCCTTATAAAGAAATTTGCTGCAATAGCGCAGTTAAAACAACTTTAGAAAAGACTATGAATATGATGCCATCACAGTCAGTGTTTTGATGCTTTAAGTATTTTTCGGGCATGCAGCAAAGATTGGTACAAAGTCAGAGGTTGGGAGGAACGTTAATCAGGATAGGAGTTTATAGGTGAATTATGTAATGCTGCAATATCTCTATTCGAAAACTTAGCAAGTAATGAAAATTCAGCATTAACGAGAATGCCGGAACGAAAATTCAAAAAGGCAGTCGTTCATTTTTCGCGGTCATGCGAACGACAAACCTTTTAAGTTCTAGTTATGTTTTCAATATTGCAATGCAGGAAACTAGTTTTTATATAGAGAACTCAAGCGCAAGCCACCCTATTCACTGAAAAAAACTGTCGAGGAAAGTTTTCGCAGCCATCGTACTAATCACTTAAACCCGACATTAAAGCTGAATCGAGACTTTTGCCAAAGCATCACGTATGCAGTAAATGTCCACATCCCGTGAAAGGGAATAAAATCGACTCACAGATTGGAAAATCCATCGTTTCAATATCGGAATCATATGCGGAGGTAGTAGGTTTTCGTTGCACAAATTAGTGGAAAATTGTGCGACCAAGTGGAGGTTTAGATTTTGTTCATAATCAGTCGAATAATGAGGCTACTTTAGACGTTTAGAAACGCACGAACTTTTATAACTAAGTTTTAATTAAAATTTTTTGCCAAAAGTACCCCAACTACCTTCAATGTCGCCTCAGTATGAGGATCCTCACCCACAGCCAATCCAGCAAGGTAGTGACAGCGCTGGAAGCGATGGTAGTTCTTGGCGGAGAGCACAGATCGGGTGGCTGCCGACTGCATCTTCCCACCAATCGTATCAGCCTTTCCACTCAAATCCATCTCGGACCTGGTACGATCCCGCTCCAGGAGCTCGAGTTCCGCTTTGTTGTGAAATTGAATAAACGGTACATTGGTGTGTGCAATTATTTGCCCCTCTTTGAGTGGTTGGGACAAGCAGGCATTTTCATGATAATCACCATTCAACGGCAAGATTGAACCAGGTTAGAATTCATGGCACTTCATCGAGGCGCTAGAAGCGGGCTCATTATTTATTGCAAATCCAAAAATTCTGCACATTAAAGGAAAACAACACACCCAAAAACCCAATAAAACAGTCTGCGTTGCTGTATGCAAGAAAATGCTTTTATACTTCCCCATCTGGAGATGTACTTAGACTTGCAATATAGAATGACAACAACAACGGTGGATCAAACGAATAGCAGCAGTTCTGAGCAATATAAGATGTTAAGTAAAGCCATTCAAGAGCAAACCATAGCTGCTATTTTCATTCAGACCAAATTATCACGAATACATACGGTAGGTCTTGAAGAATTAGATTCCAAATGCTCAAAATTGTAACTCAGCTAAATTTTGAATGACTCAAAAGATAATTACAAACAGAAAAATAACTTTAGTCAGTATGGAGTGGGAAAACCAAAACAAAAAGCGCTGATGCACCTGCTGCTGTGCTGTCAACAGAAGGAATATAGTAAAAGCACAATGCTCCAACTATGGAAAGTTGGTTTCAAAAACTACCTCGTTCTTGTAGCCACTGAAGGCGTTTCCTTTCTAACAGTGAAATAGGCCGCTCAGTTACCGCCAGTTTTGCACTGCCATTGCCATCGTCCATCTCGTTGGAATGGCTCTCCTGCTCCATCTCCCCAATCATCTTTGGGTTTGTTTCGATACATTCCGGTTCTATTTGCGCCGTTATATCAGTTTTACATTCTAAAATTATGTAACCCAACATGTGATGCGATCAATTTCAACTACAGAACTATCAATCTAAAAAATTATTTTTCCCATCTTGAAGGCCTTGAAAATGTGTCAAACTTTTGCTTTTGCAATGGCAAAATCTAATAACTTCGAAATCAAACAACTTCATATAAGAACGGAATCCTCTACTGCATATAACAATTGCAAAATGGCAAGTTCGTATGCAGACGCACTTTTTAAACACTGATTTGTTACCAGATAAAATGAGGCGATCAAATCCACAAGCTGAGACTCGGAAAGCTTATCCTTGTTCAGTTCAATAAGTCTCCGAACTGCCTCATCAACTGATTCTTTGTTCGTTATAGTAGAGTCATCAGGATTTTCCAAACATCCTGAGGTATCCTCGACTTTCGTGCTTTTCGGTAACTTGAATTCTCCCGCTGAATCTGAATTTGGTGGCTTTGAAAGCGGGTTTTCAGCCTAAGTTTAAAAAAAACTCCATACAAATGCAGCCCAGTAGTGCCTTAATATTTAGAAACGCTACGGACTCTAAATTAAACATACTTGTTTATCGTTGCCCAAGATAGCTGACAACTTCTTCTGAGAAACATGACCAACGTCAGTACCAGTCGCTGTAGAGTGAGTAGTCTCCTTGCCCTTTCTCGTCTTGAATCCTTCTTGACGTGTACGAGTCCCAATTGTTGCAGGTACTCTAGAGGACTTTGCGCTCATCGACAAGACTCGCACCCCAGAGCATTCGAAAAAGCCACCATGACCATCCGCTCAGTCATTGGTTCACTTATAGGATTTGCGTCCTCGGTTACACGGCAACGGTATTTGCCAAATTTGTCAAGACAATAGGTTTCTTTTAAGTGCTATACTACGGCAGTGGAATTGTGGAAGGCTGAATTTGGTAAATAAGCCTAAAAATTAAAATCATTTTGCATTTAGCATGAGGTTAGCGAAATGTGGTCACAATTGTCCACTTCTAGACCATTATCAATAAGTACGCTTATTTGGGATTAGCAAAAAGATCTTGTGATTAATTGGATTTTTCCAAGTTATACTGCGAAGTGAGGCAAAGAGTCAGCAACCATACATTCTAGTCCCGCAAATCGAACTTCCGTTCAGTCCTCTGGCCTTCGTGCCTCCTTAGTGGTTCCAATTGTGATAATTTTTTAATGTGATTACCTGACGTTTGGCCAAGCCCACGTGTCCAAGCCCATTTGTCCTGTCGTCTTCAGAATACATGTACTCGGCCGCACTTATTGACTTCTTATACCGGCTAGGAAGTCTCGGGACGCTGCACCAATAACGCACTACGATGTCTAGCGATTTCTGTGTTTGTTGCAATTTAGTTTTCTTCCATAGACATAAAATAAAAGGGTTGGGCAAAGGAGCACTACTCGTAATTGAGATTTGCAGTGAACTTTGAGTCGTTATGGATGAGTCATTTCAGTACATCTATGAAGATGAAATAAGACACGATACTTTGGTGAAAACTGGGTTTTCTGATGGGTCCTGGACGCCATCTTGTACATGGTGTAACTTACCGTCTCATGGGTACATTGGGACGAGAACAGGGCATGTATGCAACTAAAATACAAAAGAGCCAAGGAACCATCATTACAGCCCAATCCTATGCTGTCGGGCAGACGGACATCTACTAAGTGGAATAGGGCTGGAGAACCACTTTTAAGATGTAGAATATCTGTAGACTTTCGCGTTTTTCAATGCAATCATGATTCATTCCATTAGAATGAAACACTCGGAAAGCACGCGCTAAAGAAAGCTGAAAGTAAGATAGTTTGGAACGCTTACTTAAGGCAAGCAAATCTTGTCGGATATACATCAAATCATTTAGCCAACTTTCGACTTTTGAACCTAGAAATATATGGTGAATTTTTACTATAACGCAAACACTTTTCCCAACATTGGACAGTGTGATTGTGCAGTGGCATATTTATCGTTATTAGATTTAGTTAAAGAGGAAATGAAGGCTCCTCTCTATTTTGCTTTGGGGTAAATTTGCCTTTCATCTCGCACGACATTCGTTTTGTTCTGCTCTATGACGAAAAGATACATTTAAGGAAGGCACCCGTTGTATGACACGAACTCGGTCCTCCAAAAAGGTTGAATAACAACAGGAATGCGATCAACTCATAAACAGCTTTCGAGATGGTGTTCTGCACGCATTGGCTCCAGCCACTCCGATGAATTATGGAGAAAACCATAAATGTACAGCAGTGGAGGCTAATAGCGTGGCTTACACAAGGTCTACACAGAAGACTTGGTTTGTGCATCGGTTGCTTAAGTGTGTGAACTCTCACGGGTAACTTTAATGAATTCTGATTGATATGAGCACTTTCAGGGAAATGTAGCCATGTGAAGTCTATCCTAGCTCCAACCGCATAGTACCATCGTCTAGAAGAATTGACGATTCTAACTGTTCTGCAAAATATGTTGTTCAGTTAGAAACAAATAAATTCATTGAAATAAAAGCTGGGTTCAATTACATTCAGTATTTCCACGTCCAACTGTAGGCACGCATGCTGGACAGTAGGATTTCCTATCCCTAAGATCGGTTCCCAAACCAGTCAGAACCTCAGTATTAGCGGAATTGCCAAGGCGAACCTTAGCCACTTGATTTTCGATGACTGGCATGACAGAGTTGTGATTGTCGCTTTAAATTATCGATTACAGTTCAATGACTGACGTAGAACGCTGGCTACAGCGGGTGCCGACACCAGTGTTTTTTTATGAGGGGGTCACCAAGTAGTATGCTTTCTTAGTCTTTGAGGAACTTGTGGATCCCCGCTCTTAGTACGCAGTGCCGAAGGCACTTTTTATCGACTTAAGTCGATACGACTTATCCGCTATAAATTAGTTGCAAACTAACTCGCAGCTTATTTCTCTGTTGTTTAAATATCTGTTTGAAGTTTCATAACGAAGTGTAACTTTATCGCCTCAGTAAAATGATCGTAAACAATTTTTAAGCGATTCGAGAAAAATAGCTCGTAAAATGTAATCACAACTGTTTTATGCTGTTTAAATAAGCGTAGAACACTAATAGCTGGTCACGCATAAGTCCTCTTATTGCAAGCAAAAGCTGTCACAACTGCAGTAATAGAGTTATTTGGCCGCCATTCCCTCTCGCCTTCGAAGCCGAGAGTTGCAAGGACTGGCGAGGGGCAGTTAGTGCCTCCGGTCGGCCAGATAAGCGCCTCTAATCGATTAATCAATAGTTGCTCACACCCAGCATGAGCCCTGCAATCTTTGAGGCAGCGTGAGCATTGCAGTATTTGGAGTCGATGGTGTTTATTTCAGTCATTTATTAGTATTTTTTTGGTGTAGTCACTTACTGAGTCTGCCAAGTCTTTATGCTTCTTTAATAAGAAGTGCAAATTGTCTAAATTGAGAGAAACGTGGTACCGTGCAAGCAAAAACCTATAAATGCTTCCCTCTTGGAAAATTATTAATTTTGGTGTGATTAACAGAGGTTTAAGTTTTGTTACTTCTGGCGACTCAGACAGGTTCAGAAAATAAATAAATTTTCAATATTATCCTTCAATATCGCCGGTTTCTACTAGTAGTCTCTTTAAACCATCATTTCATAATGCTTCACTCGCTTCTATCATTTAAAGAAACCTAAAGATAGGCCCCTAACTCGCTTTGGCCCAGAGCTGACACCTTTCATTGATAATATTTATGCTACCTGAAAATATGAGTTCAATTTATTTGTACTCCCCATTTTAGCGTGTCCATGCCGTCAAAGGAAGCGTTCGTACATAACTCTGCTCCCATGGCCTCAAACTTTGCATTTTCCTTCTTTAACAGGTGCATCGGCCCTGCTATTGGCTTCTAAACTTCCCCATATTTGTGACTTTGAACTACATTCCGGTTGTTTATGATTTGTGCACACTGACAAGGAAATACTATGCTGTCTTCGTTTGCGCGAAGATTTTATGCAAGTTCTCAGCTAGGCAAACTTTATTAACGGCTTGAGAAATAGGCTTTGGATGCATAGCTCTTAAATACATTTCTCACCGCGATATAAATGTTAAATGCATATGGTTAAATGATCAGTAAGTAGGTCATTAAATTATCCTTAAAGCCATGCATCTGATAAAGTTTAGCTCTTCAAAGTTGCTTCCTCTTGTGCATTCTACCATCTCCAGCTTCGTTGCGTCTGCCTACAATCCTTCTGCGCAATCACAAGTGTTTGGTAAAATATGGCCAAGGTTTAGTGATGTATACCTTAAAAGAAGTGCTTTGTTTCCCGTAGAAGGATGTGACGCTGTCTAGTTTTTCTTTTGGAGATGTTTTTACTTGCACGGATCGCACTGGAGGAAGCATGTAATTGAGAAATTATCGCTGCAGACGAATATGCATCCACTGCTATCAGTTGTGAATCATCGGAACTACTGAGAGCAGTGAACTGACAAAGGTACTTTTAAATAAATAGCCAAATAAAGAACAATCCCTCACCTCTTTCATTTCTTTACAGTTTACAGTTTTACATTTCGACTCCTCCTCAATGCTCATACACACTCAATTTATGCCTACCAAAAGTGTGGAGCATTGGCCATCCTTTAAGTGGACGGAATGTAGTCCTTCTACTACAGCCAAAGAGCAATCACCAACACATCCCCAACCTTGTGCGAAAAATCCTATGATAATTGCAATAAGGCTGCCCAAACCATCAGACCTGTGTGGTGGAGTCATTGCGCCCAACTTAATTCGCCGAAGTTCGAAACAGGCTTTAGCAGACTATCCAAATGCAAAAGTTGTCGTATTTGACGAAATGGCATCTGTTTATGTCTTGATCTACACACTTGAGTATGCTGGCGGCCTTATGTGTGCGTGAGGCAAACCCCACCTCGATCCATTTTTTAGCAAAGCAGTAGGGCCTTCTGGTAGGTCAAAGGAGCCAATTACGAGAGACGTGCCCTTCCACGCTGAGGCGCAACCTCGCCTCGGTCCTCATTTTCTTAAGGCTCCTGGTAAAATATTATTGTTTCCTCTTATTCATGATTTTAATGCAGGTGTCTGAGTGGATTCTGCAAAACTAATGTTTAGCAAGTCCTCACATTACTTCAAGCCTTTCGACTTTAGTGATTTGATAAAATTTGTCATCTGTACTGTTTTCAAAAATCATGACTTTTTGATGATAGTCATTGTTGGAGTTGTTTCATTTGCTAGTACGAGGAAAAGAAAGGGACTACGTCTCCAACCTTTGTAAAAATGTCTACGCGAAGATGGACTTGAGATTTCGAGGGAGACGTGGAGGATGACATTCTTTGAGCACCTACAACGCTCTTGTTTGCTCGAGTCCTGCTCACATTTATTTTATGCAAAACGAAAGCTATATTTTTAGAAGCGTCGCATCTCATCATTCAATCTTCCTTGCAAAGATACATAATTTTCAGAACAGTCACGTCCAAAGCAACTGTCGCCTTTACGAGTAAGGATTGACCTTCCCGAATTCCTCATCTACAATTGCTTTTTAATGAATTACACACTGAATTGTACACTGATGTCCCTGAAGGCGATCTCTTTAGTTGATTCCAAGTTAACAATACGGCAATCCACCTGCCTCATTTTTTAAATTCTCAACTTTGTACGAAAAGATGTGTGCAATTATCAGCCGCACTATTTGTGATAGATGGGAGCACACAATTCTCCCCTTTGTTCCTTTAAAAATTAATTTGCCACCTTGCCCTTGTCACAAC